ATTGTTTTTCAGGATTCAGAAGACAGACCCAACCGCTTACCAACACCTTTGCTACAAGAAACGACGAGTAGCGAACTGCAGATGGAGTCAATATTAAAAATAGCAAGCTACCACATTTCTACCCAGTACCTGAATGATGGCCTTTGGGAAATGTGGCTGAGAACTCAACACAAAACGGCATTTGTAGACAGCAAATAAATCTGCCTGTGGATCCTAGATTTGCCAGCTCATGTTATCCTTTCTTTCCTCTGACTTCAGAAAGTGGACTCGAACCCTCAGTGGGACACCAGCATTTACCTTCTACTCATCAGGACTCTGCATTCATGAATGCTCAGGTTACTACTTCAATGTCTTGTTAGAGCCCCTGGATTTCATGACAGCTTCAACCGTCCCTTTGACAGAAGCCGTCAAGCAATGTTTTCCTTCACCAGGTCAGCCAAGTCCTTTTGTTAGGGTAGCTTGTCATATTTTATGCTTTAAAGTTGCACCTGTTTATAGAGCGGTGAATTATAGCATTGTTTAAAGTTTTCTTTTATATTCAGCCTAAAGTTCTGTATAGCCTCATTGTTATCTGCACTTTTCATTTTGCTGGTGTTTGCAATATCAGCTGGCCTTGTTTCTTGCAAGCAGCTTATGGCCTTGAGTTTGCTCGCATGATGTTTCTTTCCTTTGTCTATCACTGTGAGAAGTTTTTCTAACACAACATAGTACTAGTTTTGTTACTAGCTCAGATTAACTGAATTTGGCACTAGCCAGCTGAATCAGAGGGTTGAAATGATTGGATATGTTAATAAAAGGTGATGAAGGAGACCAATGAACAACGCTTAAAGTAAGACACTGGAAAAAGGCCAAATCAAGAGGCATGCTCGTAATGGGGCTGTTGAACAAAGGAATATGATGACTGTAGAGAGACCAATCCAAAAGCAAGGAGTCATCAAAGGAGTCAAGTTAAAGAAAAGCATAAAAGGGGGAAGCAACAAAGTTAAGTGTGTTGCCGTCATCATCATCATTTACAACATGAATCCAGTTTCCAACACCTGTCTGGATCATCCCAGTCAATGACGCACCCTTTGCTTCAGGAACTGAGTGTCCATCTTTTCTGTGAAGCAAACTAATATCTGGGATTGGGTGAGATCATTGTACTAAGTGTTTTTCTGTCTCTGAATATAGAAACTGCTGAGATAATACTTGTTGTACTAATAAAGTTAGACTTTGATTTTAGGACACGGAGTTGTCTGTGTTCATATTTCACGTTCCATTTAAGGGTTAATTGTGCTTTAACGATTCCCAAGCACTATCTGCTGGTCGGTGGTGCAAACACTTTATGCAACTGGTATGGTGACTCTGGGCCTCCTCTCAAGAGTGTAGGAGCTCAAATTGTGCCAAGCCCCTGTGCCTGATGATTCCCATTTCAGACTGATCCAGATCACGGTGTCTTAAAATATACCATTTACTGGGGAAAATATCTGAGGAACTGGAATATTTATTTATTCTTTTGCTTTATGCTTTTTAAGCAGGCAGTGTAAGTAACGCCGAGCCAGAGGTGCTTAAAAACCCACCCACCAAATGTAAAACTGAGTCAAGCAGTAGCATTTTAACAACTGTTTAAGGCAAAAAAAAATATATATATATAAGCCTCAATTCTAGCACTCAGCACCTTGTGATTGGGTCCCATCTGTATAAATCCCATCCTGCAGTCTGAGTTGCAATAAAATGTCATCTAATTACCTGGATTATTTTACAGTCACTAGAGCTGTACAACTATTCTAAAATAACCATGGAGCATTTCAGAATGAGTTCCTTTTTTAATTCTGTATTCACATCAGTAATTTTCCAGTAAGTCTGCTCCCAGGGTAATATTTTCAGTTCACTTAAGTACCAGAACAGATATTGAGAAAGTGGATGGAGTTCAGGAAAGAGAAACAAGTGTGATTAACTGCTGCGGGGGTTGACTGATCTGGAGCTATAAAAGACTTGTATCAAAAATGTACTACGCAAAAACAGAAGGGAAGGAGGAAAGGATAATGTTTGAAGGATGTAAACTTCTAGGATGGAGAATTATTTAATGAGACTCTAGGAGGGAAATTAGAATTAATAGGATGAAGTTTAAAACAGGGCATATGTAAACTGAATATCAGGGGAAAAAATCTGAAAGGGAGACAGCTGCAACAGTTTTCCAGCTGAGTCAGCGAGAACCCTGTAGCTTTGGACACATGAAACTCTGGATAAATATTAAAAAATGCACTCTAGGGAAGAGTGGCCTGGCCACTGAGATGATCAGCTGGATATATAAATCAGTCATTTTAATGATAAAAAAATTAATAGTATGCACCTGTATCTAAAAGGTTTACATCAGCAGAGATCCAAATTGTGTTGCAAAACAGTCAGTATTATTACCCCCGCTTTACAGATGAAGACATTTAGACCCAGGCAGGGAAATGACTTGTCGAGAGTCACCAAGCAGGCCACTGATGCAACTGGAAATAGAGCCAATGTCTTCTGAGTCCCCATCCACCTTTCCAAAACTTCATTGGGAATTGTATGGTAATGGGATGCTCACCAAGCTTTCTCTAGTCTTCAGATGTACTTAAAATTTCACAGAGGTGATAGGAACTACATTTAGTCTGTAATTCTGTCATGTGAAGTATCCCCATTTGTATTCACTGTTAATTTCCCCCACTTTATGAAAAATTTAAGTAAAAGCTGCTCCTGTTAAGTGGCAGATAAAAATCCTTGAAAAATGTGCTTGTCTGCATTGTACTCTACTCAAACGCTCAATTGTTCTGCTACAAACTGTGGGAAAAAGTGTTTCAAGCTGTGAGGTGGGCTTGACCCCTTTATTTTTTCAACATCTTCATCAATAACCTGAAAGATGGGATAGAGTGTGCCCTCAGCAAGTCTGCAGATGACACCAAACTTGGGGTAGTAGATACACTTGGGGAAGGCTAGGATTTGGAGGGTGCATCTACAAATGCATTCATGCGGTGTTGTTACGGCACATTAAATTTAGTACCTCTAATATGGGGTACTAACTATATGCGCAGTAGCAACAGCCCATGGTCTTTTTGTGACGCTTAATGCACAGTAGAATTCTACTGCGCATTAGCAGTTTTTGCTGTGATGCGCTAATGCGCAATAGAATTACTCCACTGTGCATTAAGCATCTCATGTAGACGCACCCAGAGAGACCTTGACAAATTAAAGGATTAGCTCAAAAGAAATCTCATGAGGTTCAACAAGGACAAGTGCAAAGTCCTGCACTTAGGACAGAACAATCCCACGCACCGGTACAGGCTCAGGGCTGACTGGCTGGGCAGCAGCTCTGCAGAAAAGGACCTGGGGGTTACAATGGACAATAAGATGGATATGAGCTAACAGTGTGCCCTTGTTGGGAAGAAGGCTAACGGCATCCTGGGCTGCATTGGTAGAAGAGTTGCCAGCAGATTGAGGGAAGAAATTATTCCCCTCTATTCAGCACTGGTGAGGCCACATCTGGAGTAGTGTGTCCAGTTTTGGGTCCCCCACTACAGAAAGGATGTGGACAAATTGGAGAGTCCAGCAGAGAGCAATGAAAATGATTCAGGGGCCAGGGGGACACGATTTCTGAGATAAGGCTGAGGGAACTGGACTTATTTAGCCTGCAAAAGAGAGGACAGGGGTGGGGAGTGTTAATAGCAGCCTTCAATGAATTGATGAGAGAACAAGGAGCAATGGGCACCAGTTGCAACAAGGGAACTTTAGATTACATATTAGGAAAATATTTATCACTAGGAGGGTGGTGAAGCACTGGAACAGGTTACCCAGAGAGGTTGCAGAATCTCCATCCTTGGAGGTTTTTATGATCCAGCTAGACCTAGCCTTGGCTGGAATGATGTGGTTGGGAATTTTCCTGCTTTGAGCAGGGGACTGGACTAGATGTGACCTCCTGAGGTCCCTTCCAACCCTCATTTTCTATGATTTGTGGTGGTGACTTCTGCAATATTTGAATGGGATGTCATTTGAACTAAGGTAGAACTGGCCAGTTCTGCACCCTCAGTGGTAATAGTGCAGAGGCAGCAGTCAGCAGAAACAGGGCAAGGCAGCCACAGGTTTGCTGCTACAGGGGAAGGTGTAAGAGGCAAAAAAAGGAGATGACATGCCAAAAACTGATTTTTGGGGGCCAAAAGAAAGGAGGTAAGAGGATTAACCCTCTCTGACACCTTCCGCCTGTAGCATCTTGTTACTATGGCTGCTGCCCCCAAGCCTATCCCCCCTGCTCTTCTGTCCCTGCTGCCAGAGCTGGAGCTACTGCATGGAAGGTGCAGGATGTGTGTGCACCAGGGTGAGGGCACCCCCAGCTCCATTCCAGAGCCTTTGCCAAGCAAATCACACACCCATTGTTATGCTACTGCATTTGAATAATTTGAACAGCAATTTCTGTGGAGCATAGATGAAATGACATCACCAAACTGCCCTCCAAAATTCTCTTCCTATGCCTATTAATAGTGTATAAAGTCTTGCAAAAGAGAAAATCTTTTTAGTCTCAAGGTGGCTCTGCTTCCTAGTAAGTGAGATTCAGGATTTTAGCGTGCAGTCTTCATCTTCAAAGACTTCTGAAAGCACAGTAGGAGCAGAGCCTACGGGACCAGATGACCATGAGGGCTTGACCGGCGGGTATATTTTTAAGCCCTGACCCTTCATTATCTATGCTTTGTTCTCTGTCCATTCTGGTAGTACCATGCACCACTGACAGCAGTTATCATAACTGTACCCAAAACAACAGGAGTTCAAGGGTTTGAAGCAAGTGATGAGATTCCTCAAAACGCTATCAGAGCAGTAACGCTATGTCTGGTGACTTAGAGCGAGAGGCTGATCCTGTTCCTGTAATGCAAGTAGAGCTTCCACAGACTTTAGTGAGAGTTTTGTCAAGGCAAAGAACCTGCAGGAGAAACCCCCTAATAGTTACCCAGAACACAATACAGCAAAAAACATTAAGGGACAGCTGATTAGAGGATGCCAGTGAGAGGGGAGTTGTTTTTTATTTTTAACGTTCTAAAACCTTGGATACAACTAAAGTAGAGCAGAGATCCAAAAATCAAAATGCCAAAATAGATTCATTTAACACAGCAGGAGAGCCTAATGGCTCCAGTGGAGCATAATCAGAGCCCCACAAGCTTCATGCCAGCAATAGTGATGGGGGGCGTGTAATAATAATGCAGGAAACCATTAAGTTATGGATGAAGAGCGAGATAATCATGCTGTATGATGAAGTTTAGCATCTCAAGACAGGTGCGTAACTCTTAAGCTACCACTGGAACATCCTAAAGCATGATACTGAAATCTGTTCAATCTGGTCCCAAACTGACAAAAAGACAAGTAGTTGACTAAAAACAACTTTCAGTAGCGTAGAGATGTCTTTAAAATTATTGGCATGAGGAGATCACAGGTAAGGAGGAAAGTTTTGATGAGCACGGAAGGAGAGAAACATGACTGGGTCCATGGTGCGTAACAACTTCTTAATCAGAGCTAAATAAAGGACTACCAAGAGATGCAGATTGAGCATCTATGCCTTTCTAGCGATGGAGCTGTGAACCGTTCATGTACAAAAGACCTTACCACAACAGCCAAACATTTGCGATTGCAGCCAAGATATGTTTGACACAAACAGCAGCAAACTATTGGCATTCATTTCACTCTTACTAGCTCAGTCCAGCTGGCTGCCCTCCTTTCCTCTCTCACAAGACACAAATCCTCAGCAATTTGCTAGAGATTTCGGGGCATCTTCTCTGCTACTGCTTACAAAGTTGTAAACAAAAAAAATAAAGAAAGGAAAAAAAAATGGCAGTTGTGCTTCGTTACGGTGGGAGTATGTTACTGTACCAAGGTAAGACATCGCTGGAAAACAAAACATATTATTTGCAGCTATTGCCTTGGTGTATAGATTTTACCATCAGTTCTTATGAGCTATGGGAATAGTAACAGTTGAGCATTTGGCATAGCTACATCTTACTTTAAAGGACTGGTCACGGTCAGACAGGATTAAATGGGTCAATGTTCTAAAGCAGTATGTGGCAATCTTTATTTTTAGGGAAAGTCCTGACCCTAACCAAACTCAACTAGCTAAATATCAAAGTGGCACCCAAAAGGCACAGTTAAGATTTCTGAATGGTAACAGCCACTTGACAAATGGATCCAACGGTATCTTACATAGCCTCCCTTTCGTGGCGGGGCACTACTGTTGGAGCCACAAAACTGCAAATCATCCAATCAGTCTCTTGCCAGCCTGCCCCCATGTACCTCCTATGCACCTGGAGACAGAGGACCTATATGTTTTACAATGACCAGGGGCAGCAGACGCCATTGTGCAGGCTCCACAGTTCAATTTAACTGATGAGGTTCTGCTCATCCCCAACACAGCGGGAAGGATAGGATAGGATTTGCCTCTTTGCTAATAAAATCTTAGTCTTTCAGGTTAGTCATAAGTTTTTACACTCACTTTAAAATTTATTTTAAAAATTACGTTCCCATAATTTATTAATGTTTTCCATGTGTGAGTAATTTAAAAGCTTATACCTCTTTTATTATATTGTATACACACATCTCTAATGCCAAGCCTGTTCTCACCCTCCAAAGCACCTCTGTCATGTTATAAAGCAGGGGTGGGCAATTATTTGGGCCTGTGGGCCACACAGGGTGGTCCGCCCCCCGCCCCCTCCCAGCACAACAACGTACCAAAACTCTTTATGTGGGATGGGGCCATGGGCAGGCGGGACCAATGTTTGGGAGTGGGACAGGCAGACGAGCCCAGGATTGCAGAGCTGGGTCGTGGGGTGGTAACAGCGCGGGGCCAGGGCAGAGCTGCAATCCACTGCCTGCACACCCCTGCGATGGGTGCTGGTTCTGTGGGCAGGGGCATGCAGGGAGCAGATTGGGGCTCTGCCTCAGCCCCGTCCCCACACTGTCACTGCCCCAAGATCACAGATGCAGCCCCGGACACGGCTCCCCACAGAGCCACGGACCCATCCTGGCAGCCTGGCTGCACAGCCCCCCGCTGGTCTCCACAGAGACCCTGGGATGGAGGGACAGTGACACTGCGAGGCTGGGGCAAGCCCCGAGGCAGAGCTGCGATCCACCGCCTGCACGGCCCTGCTACAGAACTGGGGCTCTGTCCCAGTTCCGAGCTATTGCCGCCCTGCAATCCCAGGCTCTCCATGGAGGTTGGCCAGGACGCACAGCCAGGCAGGAAGGATTGGTCAGGGGCCAGGTGGGGACCTGTGTCCAGCACTGGGGTCTTGGGGTAGTGATAGAGCAGGGGTGGGGCAGAGCTGTGATCTGCTCCCTGCACCCCCCTGCTTGCCCATCACAGGGACATGTGGGCAGATCAGGGCTCTGTCCCAGGCCCTGGCCCCGCACTGTCCCCATCCTAAGATCCTAGCATCTCCCCAGCCCCTCCTGCCTGTCTCACTCCTCACCAAGTTACAGCCCCATCCCAGCCACCCAGGAGAATGCCCTGCCCTGTGGGTCATGCCACAGCCCAAGCTACCCCGTACAACTGTGCCAGGTGGGACTGCGGGATGTGCTGCAGGCTGGACAAAATCCCTCAGTAGGCCTGATCCAGCCCACAGGCTGTACTTTGCCCACTCCTGCTATAAACAGAAAATAAAACTATTATACTGCAAAGGTGCATTTGATTATTACCCAAGTATTCCATTTCTACAGCCCTCCTGATTCCCATGAATGCAAGGCCTTTTATATTGTATTGCCCCACTAATGAAATGCAACCGTCATAAAGTTTTAGCACCATGAAGCACCACACAACCGTTTAGGACAAGAACTGAAAGAATACAATATAACAAACTGTAATGGGAATCTGAGTAAACTGGGATATGTAATTCAAACTAGATTTAAGCTAACTATAGCCAGAGGCTGTGCTATGTGAGTGTATTTGTGGTTTCTCGGTGCATATGCTTACAACCAGTTGAGCAGAAACTTGTAATTTCAAAATGAGATTCACATCCTACAATAATAGCATCTTACTCTGAAACAGGCATCCTGAATTTTGAATTGGCCTTCCTTAGATGCAAAGACATACACGTGTGCTTTATTTACATGAGTCGTTCCACTGTAATAAAAAATGGATGCGAGTCAATGGAACTACTTGCATGCATAAATCTTTGTAGGACTAACAGGTAAATTTAAACAAACATGTTCAATGGCAGTCATTCTTCACCCCGAGTTTGTGTGTGTGGATTAGGACAGATACGTATCAAATCCAGAATGTCAGAAAATCATGTGCATTTACAATGATCAGGGTATGTGTAGACACACACAGTTAGTAAATAACAGACATTTTTGGTACTGGTCCTTATGCCGATTTCATTATTTTGCAGAAAAATAACAATTCCACACATTTTCTCTCTACTTCAACTAACTGCTTGGGAAGGGTTCAAGAAGTACCCTAAATCAGTCCCGTATACCCATGAAAAGCAGAATTGGTGAGGTTTGATACTGCAGTTTTATGCTCAGGTATCAACACACGTAGCCTAGGACAACTCCTCGTGTCCCAAAGGGAGTAGCTCCTCAGGGATGTCCACTTGCCACACGTCTTTGCCTCCTCGAGCAGGAATTGGTTCCAACAGCCATCTGGGATTTGAAATCACAGTCAGGTATTTCTGTTGCAGGTTAATCAGTACAGCTTTCTTTTCCATCTCCAAAGTCTCTTCAGGAGATGAGTTTTCAGGATACTTTGTTGTCTCTCCAATGTCAACTAGCCCTGCATTATAAAAGCAAAGATGTGGTTGGTTTTCCTTCCAAAACCAAAGTTTTCCAACATAAACGCTCAACCAAATGAGCTTTAGTTAAAGCACCCCGCTGCCATTTTGAAACACAGGATGCTGAATACACAAGACGCTCCAGGCATTTTAATTAGAGCGGCTCCTGAGTACCTCTCTAATTAAAACACCCTTCCCCCTTACCCCACAGCACATGTAAAAAATGTCCTGTATTATTAAAACATCAACAAAAAGTAAAATGGTTACTAGATAGAAGACATTTTCATTGTTTTCAGAGGCTAAAAAGTATATATAAAAAGCCAAATAAGCTTTCATCTTCATCTCTTTTCACAATTTAGCATCTGACTTATGCTGGGGTTACAAATCCACGTATCACCAAGTGCCTAAAAAATGTAGGCCCTTTTTGCTATACGTGATAACAATCGCTTGTTTTTCAGGAAATAACTTCAAATATTCTAGAGATAACTGATGTGACAAAAGAATTGATTTAAACAAGAAGGTATTGCAGGATAGAAGTTAAATAAAAACTCCATGCACTTGAAATGTGGGAACTCCCCTCTTGTCAGCACGGAGGTGGAAAAGGATCTTGGAGTCATTATTGACTCCAAAATGAACATGGCTCGGCAGTGTGGGGAGGCGGCTAGGAAAGCCAACTGTACCTTGTCGTGCATCCACAGATGCATTTCAAGCAGGACCAAGGAGGTGATCTTCCCCCTCTATGCGGCACTGGGCAGGCCGCAGCTGGAGTACTGCGTCCAGTTCTGGGAGCCGCACTTTAAGAGGGATGTGGACAGCATCGAGAGGGTCCAGAGGAGGGCCACTCGCATGATCAAGGGACAGCAGGGCAGGTCCTACGAGGAAAGGTTACGGGACCTGAACCTGTTCAGCCTCCAGAAGAGAAGGCTGACGGCGGATCTTGTGGCCTGCTATAAACTAGTCAGGGGGGATCAACAGGCACTGGGGGAGTCCCTGTTCCCCCGGGCGCCGCCAGGAGTGACCAGGAATAACGGTCACAAGCTGGCAGAGGGAAGGTTTAAGTTGGACATCAGGAGGCGCTACTTCACGGTCAGGGCGGCCAGGGTCTGGAACCAGCTTCCAAGTGAGGTGGTGCAGGCTCCCACCCTGGGGGTTTTTAAGAGGAGGTTAGATGACCATCTTGCTGGGGTCGTTTGACCCCCAGTACTCTTTCCTGCCATGGCAGGGGGTCGGACTAGATGATCTGCCCAGGTCCCTTCTGACCCTAGAAACTATAAAACTATGAATGTATCTACATGGAAAAAAATTAGCACCCCCTTTCTGCGTTACATTTGTGGCACATGCAATACATATGTGGACAAATCTCTGAATCAGCTTCTTGTCCCAGTGATTTTAGTGGGGGGTCTGCCACGTGCAACACATTACAGAACAGAGGAGCAACGCCCAACTCTGCCTGTAAAATCTTACAGATGTGCAAAGAACCTCACTCACACAAACAACAGTCTTAAAATAAAAGGGACAAACATAAAATCTTAATAGAACGAGGACCAACCTTTCTACTTGAGTTAGTTTTAAAATCAGTTCCAGTTTGGAAGAGTAAGCTGAATATTATTCTGTTTCTAGCAACATCATATTTGCCACGTAACTTTTAGTTGTTTAACTGATTTGACTGGTTGGTAGTAATGCAGAAAGATGACAAATGGATCTGAATATTAATAATACTACCAGGTTGCACAGGCAGCACAGTTTTCTAGCAGTTGGAAAAACTGTTTTGACTTGAGTATATACGAGTAGAAAGAAACACAAGACTCTAGACTTCTATCTTTACTTAGTTTTCTATGTTAAATGCTTTTGTAAGCTCTGCAGTGCTTCACCAAAAATGATAAAGCTATGAAATAACTGTCTAGAGACACGTTAAAAATGTATGCTTGAGAAAGTGTTTACAAATTGAAAACCTGCTTGAGGCTTTGTAGAAAAAAAATGAACTCAAGACTGCTTACCCGCAATAACTCCTCTGCCAAATTTCTCCCCTTTATCTAACAACTCTGCAACTTGTGTAGGTGTCATATCAAGTCTATTCAAAAGGACCTCTTTCCATGTTTCATCCTCCCAGTCTTTAAAAGCTATGTGAATAGCAACAGTGCAGTTCTTGTAGTCTGCCAGCAATGGACGCCAACGAGTCTCTATTGTTTTGACTTTGTTCAAAACCAACCCAGCATAGGGTTGCCGGAAAGAAAGGCAGCCAAATCTCATCTTTCTTCAGTGCTGCACCTTTCACCTTGCATTGCTGTCACAACCTGATTAGTTAGGAAAAGAAAAATAATAAACACAACATCCTGATGCTGGGGCTTGCCAAATCTACCTGTCAGTGGACACAGCAAACTCCCTTCACAAGTGCCTTGAAAATGTTACAAAATGTTCCCGTTATTCAAACACCTGTATCTCTGAAATTCCTGATTTTCTGGATGGCAGCAGTGAATTTTTAAGCAATACTCAATTTGTCTTGAAACCCTGTGACCCAGGTTATGACTCAGAAGCTCTAAAGAAAATCAGGGCCTTGTTGTAAAGGTTCCTGTATTGAATGAGGGGACATCCTTGCCCCAAGAGATGGACAATCTCAAAATTTACTGTGGAACAGATGAATACATAATTTCTCTGTATTCATCTGGCATAAAGCCAGAGAAACTTTTGGAGACAAAGCTTTCTTCTTCAGGTCATTCTGAGTGCAAAGCATTCTTCTTCAGGAAGAGAGGAATTACACAAATGAAAGTCTGCAGCTGAGCTAAGCACTGAACCCTCAGCGCCTAAATCCTAGGTGAATGTTTTAAGCCTAAATTCCTCTCTAAATCTGATGTTATGCTAAGGCAAGTCTAGTCTACAACCTTTGGCTGGCACAGATGCTTCAGTGTCTGATGAAGTTGATTCAAGCTCATGAAAGCTTGTAATACATATATTACAACCTACACCTGTAATACATATATACATGCATGTGTGCAGGAGTCTGAGCAAGGCTCCCACTGCGTGTGTATGCATACTGTATACACTATACAGACTAAATATGATTTAGCCAGGCAGTAGCAGCCCTGGGCTAGCAATCTGACCCCAGGGTGCCCTGACAGCTGGGGCTGCTCCAACCTGCCTCAACATACTGTGGTCCTGGGCACACGTTCAAACAACATGCCTGGGAGCAATAAACTCTGGTGTGATCGGCACCGGAGTTTACTGTTTTGCATGGACGGTACGTGTAGATGTGCGCAGCATTGCCAGCATAGCTGCACCCAGCATTTTGCACAGGAGTTTTGTGGTTGATCAGAGGTTAATCACACCCCTGAGTGACAGCTGTAAGGCAGGGTTACACGTGCACACCTTTATAGACTAATTAAATAACAATATATCTATCTATCCGTCTAGATCTATCTTTCTATCTAGACACAGAGATAGATCGAGATGCACAGACGGATAGACAGACCTAGACAGATAGTCTAGATAGGCAGACAGACCGACCTAGACATCTACACACAGACATACATACACACACACAGGCCCCTATGCATGCACGTGTGTATACATACATGTGTACACACACACACACATGTGTATGCACACCCATATGTATACATACACACGTACACACACATGTGTATACACACACATATGTATACATACACACGTACACACACACATACACATGTGTATATATATATAACCCATCGCTACACGATGCACTAAATGAGCTGAGATCACCTTAGTTGGCTACTACACGGTCTGACCTACCCGTATATAAAGCGCACATCAGTGCACTTACCCACAACCTACCG